AGTAGTAGTAGCAGTAGCAGTAGCAGTAGCAGTAGCAGTAGCAGTAGCAGTAGCAACAATATAAGTAGAATTAGTAATAATAGTAGTAAAGAAGTAATACTAGTTCTAGTAAGACTACGAGGAAGAAAAATAGTAGCCTCTCGTAAGCGGTTCCCCAGCAGGTATGGGTCCCGACCGGGCTTTGCCGAACAGGAACGGGCAGAGAGGCTAGTAATAGAGGTAGTAATATAATATACAACAGTAGTGCTGGTGATAGCAACAGTAATAGTAATAGCAACAGTTCTTAGTAGCAGTAGTAGCAGCAGTAGCAGTAGTTTCAGTAGTAGCAGTAGTAGCAGTAGTAGCAGCCAGCACTGATCATTTGCAATTCCTGCAGCACTTTGGCAGATTATGTTGCGCAGGAATCCATTCATTACAGTTGATTCCTCTTTCCAATTTGATTTTCAATTCGCGAAAATCATTTTCGGAACCCCCGGAAGCTGACAAAATAACTTTTTTGAGAATGTGGAACCGGTTCGGTTCCATTCGGTTTGCGTGAGAATAATTGGCGGTTCGGTTCGTGCCCATTCGGTTTGCGTAAGAATAATTGGCGGTTCGGTTCGTGCCGGTTCTTAGCCTGCCGGTTCCTGAACGGTTCGGTTCCCGGTTCACGGTTCGTTTCCTAAGCCATACTGTAGAACGGAAAATCCATCTATAAATGGATGATGTAGGGGTATTCCCCATTTTAGGACACCTCTAGATGTTGACATGAAACCCATGTGAGCAGTATTCAAAAGCCTGGCTGGTCTATGATTAGTTCGGGGATTGTAGTAGCCAGTTTTAGAAAATAGATATACAATGATATACAATGATATACATATATTCCTGTAAATGAGGGTTTCCTAAGTCATGGGGGATCCCCAAGTCACCGTGGTGGTTTCAATACTAAAATGGTTTAATGACTTGTCTGATTTGGGGGTACACCCATTTTAGGAAACTTCCAAATGTTGACCTGAAACCATGTGGAACCCTAAAATGGGAGCTGATGAAGAGGAGTATACTCTTCCATTAATTCCATGTTGATCCACTTTTGGGGTCCTACTCGCAGCTTTAAGCACCTGGAATTGATGTGTATTCGGTCGCAGCTGGACCCTTTAGGTTTCAACAGACCTGCTACGGTTGAATTTGTGCTGTTTGACAGGATCAAAACAAGTCGATACACCACTTGAACGCTTGAAGTGTCGTGTCACCTGCAGGTGGTACAGGAAAGGTTTGGCATCAAAATCCCCAAGAGCTATCCGCTGGATGCATGGCGTTTTCGCTTCGCGTTTCGCGTATGGGATGGGAAAGTGGTCATCGATGGAATTCTTTACATCTAAAGGAAAAGCAAGTGGTTCGCGGAAATCAAGTGATATATAAGATAGATTGGGCGCGCGACAAACGGAGAAATGTAGTTGGATGTCACATTCCATGTTTGGAATACATACTCACCTACCTTCAGATTTAGACGCAGATAGCAATGATGACCTCCAATCTCAAACATTTCACCATTTTTTTTCAAATATCCCATGTTTCGCAATTTAAGTAACAAATTGTGAGAACTGTTGAGGCTCAGAGGACTATTTCAACATCGTTCATATTTTTGGATGGTGGAATCTGGCCTTCCTGGCCTTCCTGGCCTTCCTGGCCTTCGGCTCTAAGGAAATGGCTGGCCCAGTGATGTGCGCAGGGATCACCATGTACGACCCCTTGAAGGCTTTCAAGGCCCAGCCAGGCCGGGACGCGACAAGGGTCGTGGAGGTAAAAAGGTTAGGCATTGCACAGGTCCAACATGTGTTGATTGCTATTCTGTGTTTAGAATATGTATTTGTTCATTCATGTTTATTTATGATTTTGTTTGTTTATTCATGTATCTATTATATTGTTTTTTATTCATTCAAAATGTTTGTTCATTAGAATATATTATATATGTATATAATTGTCATGGAAGGATGTTATAGAGGTCTGATGTGAATATTTATGCAGTGTGGGTAGCAGTGTGGGTAGATGTGCACGGGTAACGTGACCTGACCGCAAAACTGTCTGTGCTGGTGCCAAGGGTGGTTCACAAGGTGACTACTGTAGAGTGTACTTCCAAACACATGGACGAGGTTCTCTTCGAGATCTGCGTGTGAATCTCAAATGGTCTCAGTCGACACAATCACTCATGATCAATGTCCAGTATCACCTGATCGGGGGATGATGACACTCATCTCCGATCTCAGTGTAGACATCTTTTGGTTGGTGGTTTGGGACTTTTTTATTTTTCCATATATTGGGAATAATCATCCCAATGTGACGAAGTCCATCATTTTTCAGAGGGTTTTTAGGTCAACCACCAACCAGTCTTGAGATACCTTGAGACCATGGATTCTGGATGAAACTGATGAAACCAACCACCCCAAACAACCCCAAACAACCTCTCCAGGCCTTCCATGGCCCAGCTCCCGTTCAGCACAGGGGACAAGGTGGGCATCGTGGGTCTGGGCGGCCTGGGCGTCATGGGCGTAAAGTTGGCCAAGGCCTTGGGATGCCTTGCGCCTTGGAAGCGACTGATGGAGCGCCATGGGAATCTCAGCCATAAATTCTGTCATATCTATATGGTGTAATTTTATGTCATGTCTATAGTATGTACATATATCATCATTTATATATATATATTTATTTATTTACCCATAGAATCCCATAGATATACTTGTCCAGATTTCGTGTAGCTGTGTATAGTATTGTTTTACATTGGTTTATTTACATTCACAAAAAAAAATATGTACGTATAAATATATATATACACATAATTGTTGCATTTAACTCAAAATCATGAAGATGTTAAACTGTTGATCCAATTCATAATAAGTTCTTTCTAGATTATTCTTATTATATCATTTAGTTTATTTATGTTTTACATATATATATATATATATAAATATGTATGTCATATATGTGCATAGTTCTATTCTATGAGTAACTCATTAGTTCGCAGGTCCACCACCGGTCCGGTCCAGCTCTCCCAGCTCTCCCAGGTCGTGGCCATCAGTCGCTCGGAGTCCAAGAAGGCCTTCGCCGAGAAGTGCGGCGCCATGGCGTTTTTGGCGTCCTCAGATGCCGCGCAGCGCCTGGGACGCGACGTCGGGTCACCGGGGGCCATGTGGGGGGCGCCAGGGAAGCCATGGAAGCAACGGACATGGTGGGGAGATCATGGGGGATGGGGATAGGAATTTTGGATGATCTGATAGCTAAATTTGGAGCTTAGCCTGACATGATGGAAAGATGATGGGGATGTGGTATCATTGGAGAATGAATGACAACGATTGATACCTTCCTTTGTGCTCCCAAAATGAAAGACTTGTCACTATTAAAGGGATTAGTCATGTTGGATTTGATGTTTGGTGTTGTTTATTGATTGTTCTGGTAGATGTGTTCATATCTGTTTTCATCTGTTTTCACTTTGGACCTTACACAGGAAAGCTTGGGGGGTTGAATGGATTTTCATATATCTTCCGGCGTGTTGCCTCCACACACACCAGCCTTTTTTGTTCGATTGTTCTATTTGACTGCTTTCAAATGTCAAGTGACAGCTGGTGCCTATAGAATTTTCACGAAATTCTGGCACCACAGTTTGGACATTGAGTTCTGTCCAAGGGTGTGCAATCACACGGAGAGCTGCACCTATTCTTCTTGGTGGAATGGGTCGCAATAACAAGTGAAGTAAGGCAAAAACCAGCACAATTCAAAATAGATATAGGAAACATTACCATTTGAAAGTAATATTCCTTGGATTTCCTAGAATGTTTTTTGTTTTTCATCTTCGCATTCAAGAATATGTCGGCAGTTTCAGCACCCAAGAACATCGCCCAAGGATGGATGAGCATTACCGAAGCTTTGACTTGATTCTCAATACCATCCCTTCGGATCACGACGAGAGTGGCTTGGCAGTGGTGGCCAGCTCAGAGAAACCAGTGAATTTCGAGGTTTCCATGGGGATTTGTTTGGAGGTTTCCATGGGGTTCCATAAATGGAGGTAACCATAAATCATCCATTTTAAATTGGATGTTCCCAAAACCATACATTTAGAGGTACCCCCATTTATGGAAACCTGTATATATGCATGTAATTACCCACGTCTATGTCCCATTGAAGAATTGACTCTGGGATGCACAGAAGTGCTTCTTAAAGAGGGAAAGATCTATTCACAGGAGTCACCCATCAAGTGGAAATTCTTACTAGAACGATTTGTTTTGTTGATGTTTTCATGGATACTGTATTTTATGGTCTCTCTAAACATATATATATATATACATATATAATTATATATATATTACATTATATTGATTTGAGCGCAATCCCTGAGTCATATTTTCCCGTTTTGCATCAAATATGGTCCACTTGAATCATGTCGTTTGGTTGTTTAAAATCCCAAAGATTCTCCATGTTTAGACATAAGTTCTCATCAACGATCTTCCAAATTTCCTCCCGGTTCCTGATCAAATTCCTGATCAAATCAGATCCATTAAAAATGCAGATGTAGATTGGTGAATTGGATGGGAGTTTCACTCACCCGTTTATTGGTGATTATTTTACAGCTTGTTATTTTAACCCGTAATAGGAATATCTACTAACCAAGGAATTTCGACATTCCCCATCAGACATAGCATCTCAATTGTTCAGACATTATGTGTTCAGATATTTTCCACTGAGATGTCCCAAGTTTTTTTGGGCTATGTTCCTCAAACTGGTGGATTGGTGAGTATGGATACACCAATAAACCCAGTATTTCCAAACAACATTATGTAATACAGAGAGTGAGAGAGAGATACAGAAAGAAGAAAAAATGCTCCCCTTTGATCACCAGAGGATATGAGAGGTATCTGGGGCAGAATCGTACATTCATTTTCTTGGGGCTCCCCAAATGTTTCGTATGTCCATCCATGTATGTGAGACAGCTTCTCACATTGGGGGATACCCATTAC